GTGCGGTTCCGCCCCCGGCCAGCAGAGGCGGCGGCGGAGCAGGGTGCCGCTCGGGAGGGGACAAGCCTACACCGGTTAGTCCCAAGCGGCACATGGCTCCGCTGCCACTTCTGCTGGCCGGTGCAGACCTGGCCGGCCTTGTCCCATCCCCAGCAGTACATGGGAAGCCAGCTTCGGCTGCATGCTGCTTTTCCTGGCTGGTGCCAACCCGGTTCTGCCCAGGTGTGTCCTGCAGCACCATGTCAATCCGGGCATGGCAGCGGCAGGCTGGGCGGGCCCCAGGTTAACCCCGGCCTGGCCCTGTGGCTTCTCAGCACCAGGTCAACCCGGTTGTAGCCGAGCAGCTCCTGCAGCACCATGTCAACCTGGGCATGCATGCCGTGTCAACCAGGACTACGTCAACCCCTGCAACTTCACTGGTGTCAAAGGTCATGTGACATCACTTCCTGATATGATACCACTTCCTGTGACGTCTTTGAATATGGCTCACTGGCCCACTGGGTAGTAAAAAATTCATGATCTGGCCCCACATTCAAAAAGGCTGGACACCCCTGTTCTGTACTCTTTTAGCCCTTAGGTCTTCTACTAAAAAAAAAAGTCTATTCCTCACCATATATATCTTTTTCTATCTGCCTTCATTGAAGAGGACAAGCATTTTTGTGTTCTAATAAATTGTTTGCATAAAACAAAAGCAAACAAGATTTTTGAAGCAGTATAACTGCTTCAGTCCCAAATGTGATTGATACCACAACATTTATACTGGTATAACTCCTAGTGTGAATGAAGTTATGCAGGTGTTCATTACAACAGACTGTTGGACTGACTACTGGTTCTTATCGACTTAACTGCCAGGAAATCTCTCTGTATTTTTCTAGTTTTGATTGCTTTTTAACAACCTATCACCAACACCTTTTTAGCAAATGACCCATTATGTGTATATACACATACATTATGAAGGAATGCACTTATGATAATTTCTTTCACTTCTGAGCTCTAAAAGGATTTTTAACTGCTTTTTCTTCCCCACTCTTTTCCTTTTCACATGTCTTTGATAAATGTATTACAACCTTTCATTATTTAGAGCAATATTGCAGGCATAAGCAGGGCAAGGTTTTCTTCATCTGCTCCAAGAAAGCAAAGTCTACCTCAATCCTCTCTACCTAAAGCCTCATTTTGGAAGGCTAGAGAGTGCCTTTATCTTAGAGTAAATCAAGGCCCACACAAGGGCAAAAGTCTAATAGGACTAAAGCTTAAGTGGAATCCCAGAAGAGAATTCTTTTAAATAAGAGATGAAGAAACCTCACCTGAATTACTTACAAATGAAGAAAAAAAAGGAGTCAGTTCCTAATGTTTTGGGGTTTTTTTGCAAATGTAGACATTTATTATTAATGTAAAATGTCTGCATGTTAGAAACTTGTGAAGGTCAACTTTGTTCCACAAAGTCGAGTGTATGGCTATGGGATCATATATCTTGGATCTTGTTTTGCCCAACAGGGAAGAATTTGTTGAGAATCTGAAGGTGATGGAAAACTTGAAAGGAAGTGATTATACAACAAAATTCATGACTTTGAGTGGGAAAGCATAAGGTTAGCAGAACTAAGATACTAGGTTTCCAAAGGGCAGATTTCAACCAACTCAAGGAAATTGTAGGCAAGGTCCTATGGGTGGACAGACTGAAGGATAAAGGGCTCCAGGAAAGCAGACAATTTCTGAAGCACATAGTATTTGAAACTCAGCAAGAAACTAGTCTAACACAGCAGAAACACAAGAATGGCCAGAGGCCAATGCAGCTGCACAAGGAACTTCTTGGATGCCTCAACAAAATTAAAGGAAAACCTACAGGCAATGGAAGGAAGCACAAGTAACAAAGGAAGCATACCAAGAAACAGCAAGTATTTAAAGAGACAAAATTAGGGAAGCAATGGTAAAAAATGAGTTGCTTCTGGCTAAAGATATTAAATGACAACAAGGAGGGGTCCTATAATACGCTAGTCAGAAAAGGAAGCTGTGGATCTGCTGCTAAAGAACCAGAGTGAGTTATTAGAAGATAAAAAGAAGGCAAAGCTGCTTAACTGCTACTTTGCCTTTGTCTTCACGCATACACTAGCAAAAATTATGTACACCAGAGGTTATTACATACTCCCTTCCAGATTTACCAACTGCCATTGTACACCTACCAGCACATATTTTTTTATATTATATATTTTATGTATGTATGTAATTATTATATTTTAACGCCTTAAATACCAATTATTATTGTAATGAAAATTAAAATCTGACATCACAGTTTCTACAAAGTACCCCTCCCCCACAAGAGATTTCTTGTCTACCCCCAGAGGTATATGTACCACAGCTTGGGAAACCCTGATATAGACAAAGAAGGGGGAAGGCTGAGAATCATGATGACACCTAAAGCTGGTGTCAGAGAACTTCTGATTAGCTTGAATGAATTTAAGTTAGCAGGGCCTGATGAACTACATCACAGGGTACTCAAGAAACTAGTAGAATGTGTATTGGAACCCCTGCAATAATATTTACAGAGTTGTGGGAAATAGGCACAGTTTCAGACAACTGGAAAAGGGCCAAAATAGTGCCATGTTTAAAACAGGCAAAGGGGAGGATGCAAGGAATTGTGTCAGGCTGACCAGATAATACCCATGAGGCTACTGGAGCAAATTATAAATAAAGCAGTTTGTAACCACCTGGAGGAGAAAAGGCTGGTCACTATGGATTGGTTAAGAACAAATAATGACAAACCAATTTGCTCTCCTTCTTTAACAAAGTAACTAGCTGGGTGGAGGAGGAAGAGAATGAAGTAGACATTGCGCACCTGGACTGGAGCAGGGCTTTTGATAAAGTCACATATGACTTTTTCATAAGCAAATTTGAAAAACATGGGCTAGATAACATTTCTGGCTCATTAACTGCAAGCAAAGGGTCAGTGTCAGAATGGCAAGAGGTTTTGAGCAGGTTTTCATGGGGGTGTCCTGAGCCCAGTGCCATTTAACATGATCATTATTTGGATGATGGAACAAAGAGCTCTCTCATCAAATTTTCAGATGACAAAATTGGGAAGGACCGCAAACACTTTTGGAGGACAGAAGTAGAATTCAAAATGGTCTTGACAGATTGGAATCTAGAGACAATACAAATAAACTGGCTATGGACAACACAGACACGTGATATAACTAGGGAAGAAGAACCAAATATACAGTGGGGGATAACTGGCTGGGTAGAAGCATTGCTGAGAAAGATGTAGAGGTGTCAGCGACTCAAGAGAGACAGCAAACTGACACAGTTGCAAAAAAAACCCCAAACCAACACCACCACCCCACATCTTATCTGGTATTAGTAGAGGCAGGAGAAGCAGTACTGTAACAACTCAGTGCTGGTTAGGCCTCATCTAGAGCAGCATTTCTCAACCCATGGGTCATGACCCAAAAGTGGGTCGCAAGAATATATGAAAAGGTCACGAACAAACTTAAAATAAATAAATAAATAAATAAATTGGTCAACAAACTTAAAAAATGGATTCTCCTTTAAAGGAGAAAAATGTGGGAAAATGGCTGGCAGAGTTCCAGCCTGCAAGGGGCTGCTTGCCCCCCCGTGCGGCACACACTGGGGGGCTGGGGCCTGGGGGCGGTGGGTTGGGAGGGAGAGGCGCTGGGTCTGGACCGGCCACCGACATTAGAAATGGGTCCTGGTACAAAAAAGGCTGAGAGCTACTGATCTAGAGCATTATGTGCAGTTCTGGGTCCACATTTAAGAAGGATGCAGAATGGGAAGGGTCCAGCAGGCAATAACAGTGATAAAAGGGCTGGAAAGCAACCCATGCAAATAAAGGCGGAAAGAATTAGGAATGCTTCGCTTGGAGTAAAGGCAGCTAAGGGGGGACACGGCAGCAGCCTCCAAACACCTGCAAGACTTCCTGAAAACGGGAGAAAGTCTGTTCCCCCTTGCCGCAGAGAGTAGGAGGCAAAGCAACAGCTCCAGACTGCAGCAAAGCAGGTTTTGATTAGACACCAGCAAACACTGCCCTTACTGCTAAAGCGCTAAGGGGAATAAACCCCCCAGAGAAGCTGAAGAATCGTCTTCACTGAAACTTTTCAAGAGAAGGCCGGATCCGCGCTGGGCAGCCCCGCTGCCCCCACAGGGGCTGGAGCAGGCACCCCAGAGGGCCGGCCCTTCCGCCATCGGGGCTCGGCGGCCGCGCAGCACAGGTGCGAAGCGCTGGGGCCGCCCCCGCCCCCGGCCCCTCGCTGGAGCCACCCACCGCAGGTCGGCAAGCGGCGAGTCCGATGCCCTTCGCCGCCGCCTGGCCCCGGGCCCAGCCCCTGATGAA